TGGGCTTCGAGCAAAGCCCGCACGAGGCGGCCATCTACCGACGGGGCAGTAGAGGAAATGCTCTGCTGGTGGGTGTCTACGTCGACAACTTGGTGATCACCGGCACCAAGGATGCGGAGGTGGCGGCATTCAAGGAAGAGATGAAGGCCACCTTCCAGACGAGTGACCTGGGACCTCTCTCCTTCTACCTGGGGATCGATGTGCACCAGGATGACTCCGGGATCACGCTTCGACAAACCGCCTACGCCAAGCGCGTCGTTGAGCTAGCTGGGCTCACCGACTGCAACCCAGCTCTCACTCCGATGGAGGAGAGGTCAAGTCGAGCCGCGACAACCTGGCGGAGGAGGTGGATGCTACACGCACACTGCGGCGTCTTGTGGGGAGCCTTTCGCTACCTCGCCCACACACGGCCGGACACGGCATTCTCCGTCGGCTACTTTAGTCGATTCATGCAAATGACCGACAACGGAGCACCAAAGAGGGTCAGTGAAGAGGATCATCCGCTACGTTATGGGACTCTCGACCATGGCCTCTACTACCCTAGGTGCCTGGGCGGCACACTTCGCTTCATAATGACAATGACCACGCCGGGCGACATCGACACCAAAGAAGAGCACGAGTGGGATCCTCTTCTTCCTCGGCAAGTGCCTCGTTAGGCTGGCGATCGGTCAAGCGGCCAGTGGTGGCCTGTCCCCATCACCGCGAGGCCGAGTACATAACGGCCTCCACCGCTTCGACTCAGCGCTCTGGCTTGCTCGATCGCTTGGTGATCTCCTCGGCAGAGACACTAGAGCGGTGGAGCTGTGGTGGACAACAAGTCCGCTCTGCCCCAACAAAGAACCCCGCCTTCCACGAAACGCAGCAAGCACATCCGGGTGAGGTACCACTTCATCCGAGGCTGTTTTGAGGAAGGGAGCATCAAGGCGAGCTACATCAACACCAAGGACCAGCTTGTGGACCTGCTCACCAAGCCCCTTGGGAGGATCAAGTTCCTTGAGCTCTGCTCCAGAACCGGGATGGTTCAACTTCCCCACAAGACGACGCACAAGACTTAGGGGGAGAATGATGGATAAGTCTCTGTGTTGTGTTGGCTGGTCCAGTCTTTGTGGGGCTGGTCTTGCTGCTTGACATCTTGACTAGACAAAGACATCTTGATCGGACAAAGACATGGGGATCGATAAAGAAAGATCGCCCAAAGATCTTGATCGGACAGCGACTTAGACAGCATCTTAGGACAGCATCTTAGAGGACAGCATATTAGCATCTTAGACTAGCATCTTGGCATATGATTGGCTGGCTAGCAGCCTATAAATATGTATCCTCAACCCCTCAGTTTGGCATGGCATTTGTGTGAGTTTGTGTGAGAAATAAACCAGAAAATTGCCCCAACTCCTAGTGTCATCCTCTCTCGATGAGAGTAAGAATTCTGCTACTACCGAGAGTGAGAGTTCAACGACTAACATGTTTAACTCCTGATGACATAAGAAAAAATAGTCAGGATCCTCTTACAGATCATGCTGAATGTTATTGTTTGAGGCATGAGAGGGAGATCTCGGGTATGAATAGCATGTAGTCACTTTCCCTGCATCTTGAAATTGGAATGATTTTACTGCAGCCTTTCTTGTATTAAAAAGGAAACATACATAGTTATATTGCAGTCTGTAGGTATGCTGCTGGCCTGCTGCAATCAGATCTTGAAGTTGCAGTTGTTCTCAAAATTGCAACAGATCAATATTGAATAAAGCTAAATGATTGATCCAATGCTTACAAAGACAAGGAAAAGCTCAGTTGGACTGTCAACTGTTACATTTCAAGCTTGGCATACCCAACCATCTAAACCTTTTAAGGTTTGTCCTTGCTGCTTTGACGAATTGAATAGTTTCAAAAGGGTTAGCTTTTGTGCAACCATTGAGTGACAAGTTTTGATTATTTTTTTTACTCTTCGAGGGTCAACTGCACTCACTGACTAGAGATGGATTTATTTGGCATGGCATGAAAACCTGTATTGATATTTTTTTTTTGACGCAAAACCTTTATTGATATTGAGCAATCATGTTGAGTCATCAATGGGATTATGTTCGTCTACTATCTTTTTGATGGTCCTAAAGTTGGATTTAAATTAGTAAGCACATGCTGCTATGCTTCCTTTATCCTTGTTATATTGGAGTCTAAATGTAGTGCTACATGTGTTTTTTTTTGACTTGTCTGTTGTCATCCCCACACACCCCATACCACGTACCAAGTCATGGCTCCGCCTGTTGATTCACGTGGTCAGATATGTATGTTTGTATGTGATTTTGTCCTACTGTGTGGTGGTCTGGCAAGGTGATTGGTGGTAGTCGCAACTCTGCAATCAACCTAAGGGTCTGGTCACAGTTTAAAGTTTATTGATATAAGATGTCAGCAAGTCCTGGTTTGATCAGTAAAACAAAATGTTGAGATTTGGGCAAACATTCTTGTGCTTAGGTTGCCAAGGAAATTTTGTGGGAGCTATCCATGCAGTTAGTTAAGTTAGTCCTTATAGTCCGCTATTGGCCTTGCTGTGTGAATTCATGAATTTTGGCTAGGGTGAAATACCCCTATCCAACAGGTGATCCCCCCCACCCCCCAAGAGTATAATGAGTTCTAGACAGCCATATGGGAACACTGCTGGCTCTCACAGGAGAGTGCACAACATTACCATGACAAGAACCACCAAGAACTGAGCATCTGGGTGGGTTATTGGTTGTGTTTTCATCTTTGCATTTCGCTGCCTTCATTGTAATGGTGGTCAAGACCAAGCTCACACAGGGTGTCTTGAGCTTCCTCTAGCTGATCTATGAATCTGTTATGGTGGGCCAGGTCTATCAGCGTAAGAAGTGCCTCCGTGGCTGAGGAGTTGCACGCGCGACGCGCGGATCTGCATGGTGATCATGCCCACGGTGCCGCCGTTCCTAGTCTTTAGGACCTTTGGTTAGCAAGTTTGTTAGCTTGGTTTGTTGGCTTAGTCTCTGGTTGTTAGGATTTGGATATAAAGCCTAAACTCTTGGTTAATGATAGATTCAGCTGGAGATTGATTACAATCTCTCCCGCTCTCTCGCTTGCGTTCTCTCTCTCTCTCTCTCTCTCGCCACGCACTCGCTCTGGGACGCCGGCCAGCAGGACGGCGTCACAGCCCCGCTGCCGCCGGGATCCTAAGCCCCGGCCTCCCATAACCCATGACTACTACCTGTGCGGTGCATCGAGTTCCAACAGAATCCAAGATATTTTTCATGTTTAGGTGTTCAAGGCATCACATTTAGAGCAACTCCAAGGGTTTCCTAAACCCAGTCCCAATCTCGGGTTTTGGCTAGGAAGGAAAATTTTACACCCTCCAATGGGTTTGTATATGACTCCCAATACTTATGCACCTCGGAAAACTGAAGGGGGCACGTGTGTCTTCATTCAGATGCGCAGGACTCCCAATCGCTTGTTGGTGGGTGGTTTTCTTCTATCCTGTGATTTTTTTTCCATGTTGCGTGCACCGGGAATGGTACCCTCGGATCCCGGTGTCCAGCTCCCAAGGCACCAAATAGATCGTGAACATAGCAGAGCATGGGAGGTGCAGCATGGTCGCTGGCTTGCATGACGATCGTGCCTTGGCATCGGCAATGAGGAACAGGCAGCACAGCACCCAGTTTGCAGCAGCGGCAGGGCGTGCCCCAATTGGGAGTGTGGTCTCTGCAGGATGCTCATGGCGATGGCGCCTCCTAGGCCGACTGGTGCTAATTGCCAAGGATCTTGGCTCTCGTTTACTGGCATTTGGGATCAACCCTCTTGAACCTGCAAACGCAGACATGTAGAAGGCTTCTGGTGTCCGTGCCTGCTAGGGATGAAACTGGATCGGATACAAACTGATACCAGTGATCCTGCATTATGTCCCGTATCCTGTATTCTATCCCATATTTTTTTCTCGGATCTCAGAACCGGATACGGATCATTATGTTGATATCTATCTCATCTACATATCAGAAATCCAATTTTCAGTATTCGGATTCGGATACAGTCGGATATTAAATGTTCGGATTCAAGTACGGACTATCCATATAGGGTTTTGAACCTTTCAGGACAGATATCGAGAAATATCCGTCCCGTTTTCCAAGTGCTGATGACACCTGTGGATGATACCCGAAAGAGATCGATCAACTACTGATCATGATAGATGCATGTAGATGTAAAACTGATGGATGCTGTACTCTTTGTCATCCTTGTGCATGTCCAGTAACATGTCCATGGAGTCCCGACAATCGCCGTCATCCCTGTTGCGAGCCCGCCGCCGGTGTTCATAAATCACCTTCTCGAGCAACCTGTTGAGTGTTGAGCACCGTCACAAGGAGTTTCTGGAAGTCGGTTTTTTATTTTTTTAGGAGCAAATAAAAGGGAATTGGAGTTTTTTTTGGAAGCATCCTAAAGCGCAACTCTTTGGAGTATTTTTTTTTTATTACTGAACACTTGGAGATGAACACTTGGAGATGCTCACTTCTGGCATGCCTCCATTGCTGATCTTGTCTTGACCCAATTGCTCTGCTGTTTGGTGAGTTTTCATTCATTGACATGGTTAACCAACTTCTGAAAGCCAACTTGCTGTTTCCATAGAAATGGAGCGATGCGATGTTATGGTGAGGAATAGGTATGGTCATGAGGCTAGATGTCCACGACACACATATGGGTTGGTGCATTGCTAGAGCTGGCTGCTAGCCAAGTTTATTGCCTCCAAAGATTAAGGAAAAGTACAAGTCTATTCAGTTAGCTAAATGATTTGGTTACTTGATGTCCTTTTGGGTATTCACCCATCCTCTCACCACTTCCATTCTCTCTGCTTTGAAAACCTAGACCATAAGTAACTCCAAAATATTCTGTGATGAGAACACTGACTACCGACTTGTGTTCACCTTTTGATGATGAAACTACCAATCACCGCACTATATTATATCTCATTTCTGCAAAATTGGGCTCACAGTTTGCTGGCTGATTCTTCTCAGCATGTTTCAGGTGGCATTATCCTTGCACCAGAGGGAATCAATGGTAGTATATGTGGAACCCCAGTTGCTGTAGACAAAGTCTTAAACTTTATTCAAGAAGATGACCGCTTAAAAGGATTGAGAATGATCCAGTCACCTGTTACTCCAGAGGATGAGGCCTTACATCATGGACATACCAGTCACTCCCCTGTTGGTGCTGGGGAAGATGCACCATTCCGGTGGAATCATGTCCGTGTCAAATTGAAAAAGGAGGTTAGTTTGCCTACATGGTTCTTGTTGGTTGGCTACTGTAGTGACCGGATATTTAATGATGAAACAGTCCAGCTTAGTCCTGCTCCTTGGCCGTTTGCAGATAGTGACTTTTGGAGACCCAGGTGTAACGCCAACTAAAATGGTTGGAAAATATGTTAAGCCGAAAGACTGGAATAACTTGATTAGTGATCCGGACACTGTAAGTGTTTCTTCTATCTCAGATTCTCCAGTATCCCATCACCTATCTTTGCATTGTTGAACTTCTTTTCCATTGTGTGCGAATTGTTTACACTATTCATGTGACAGGTTGTAATTGATGTGCGTAACATGTATGAGATACGCATAGGAAAGTTTAAGAAAGCTGTTGATCCATGTACAAACTCATTCAGAGAGTTTCCTACTTGGGTTGACGATCAATTCCAATTGGTTGAATCTAACACCCAAGGGTCAGGGGTAGATGACAGTGGAACTGGTGAACCAGCAGCAGACCTTAATGCCAGCAAATTCAAACAGCTACCAAGAGTTGCTATGTACTGCACTGGTGGTATCCGATGTGAGAAGGCATCAAGCTTTCTCCTCGGCAAGGGCTTTAAAGAGGTAAACCAAAAGGCTATCCTCTGTTATCTGCTGTTCTGTTGATTTTCTTATCATGATGCTACTGTTCAACATTCTCTTTGCATGTAGATATTGTACTAATGTAGACTGCATGATATATTTCTATAACACAAATTGTTAATGGCATCCTGAGGTTCTTCTTGCAGTTTATGTGCATTTTTACTTTATAGTCTATGGCTCTATGCTAGCCCTTTGATAATTCCTTAAATTTGAGCATTTTTTTTAACCAAATATTTGGCAAAATCCAGTGTCTTTTTTTGAAAGGCGGTAAAATCCAGTGTCTGTTATTTCTACTCCTTTCATTACAAATTATAAGATGTTTTGTTTTTTCTAAATACATAGCTTTTGCTATGTACTTGGATATACACTATGCCTAGATACATAGTTAAAGCACTGTTTCTAGAAAAGCAAAAAAATGTCTTATACTTTGTGTCGGTGTTTCGAGTTACCACTGACGAGTAAATTTGTATTTGCGCGTCTGGCTCGGATGGTGTGCTAAGAGGACACAAGATTTATACTGGTTCGGGCAGAAAGTCTCTACGTCGAGTTCGTCGCTGCTGCTCGTGTTACTAGCACTGAAAGTTTGTAGTAGGGGTTATAAATGGGTGAGAGAGGGATAGGTCCCAAGTCTCTGATAGGGGAATGAACGGGTGCTGAGAGCTCGGTTGCTGCTCAGCCGTGTGTTCGTGTTGTGCTTATCTCGTGGTTCGGTCTCGATGGGTCAATTGATCTGGCTTAAAAAATCCCCCCTTCATGTGACGCCCTGCTTTCCCTTTTATAGGCCAAGGAAAAGCACGGGTTACAGCGGAGGAAAAGAGAAGAACGAGAGAGAGAAGGCCTTTAGGATCGGAGCGGAGGAAAAGAGAAGAATGAGAGGCGGAGCCCGCAGCCTTGAGGTCGGGCGAGACGGAGCTCGCGGCCTTGAGGTCGGGCGAGACGGAGACCGCGGAGATAGAGGACGAGATCATCCCCCCATGAAATTAGTTAGGCAGATAAACCAGGCGGCAAACTCGTAGCAAGTAGACATGCTCTTATATTTCGTTATGGCCAAACATGTTTTTAGCCCTTCTCCCCTTTTTGTATCAAAAGGTTAGTGCGTTTTGACCCTTTCCGTCGTTTAAGGCCATAAAAAGGTTAGTGCGTGTGAACAAACTCTGATCACGCTGGTGAGAAAAACGTCGTAGCCGCTGGGGCGTAGGTTTCTCGCAGTCCGACCAGTTTTACTCAGCGTTCGTTTCCGCAACCCTAGCTTCTAGATCTTAACGTGAGAGAGGGTCGAGCATAGAGAACATTTGCCTGGTGGATATACTCTTGAACGCGTACTGACTCTTTCCATAGTTAAGGCTAAAAAGCTCAGGGTGCGGAAAACATTCTGATCGCGTCGGTGAGCAAAAACGCCGTAGCTGCTGGGGCGTAGGTTTTTTGCAGTCCGACCAGTTTTACTCAGCGTTTGTTTCCGCGACCCTCGCTTCTGGGTCTTAACGTGAGAGGGTCGGGCCTAGAGAATATCTACGGGATAGATAAGGTCTTATCATCCACCGAGTGAGGCCCGACCCTTTGCCGTTGCTGGGGTCGGGTGTCACTAAAGATCGGGGAGTTGACAACGAAATTGATAAGAGAAAGTGTGCGTATATTAAGGGTAAAAGCGGCATAGCTGTTCGATGTTCCAGGCGTTGACGAAGACTTCGCCGTCGATGGTCTTGAGCTTGCAGGTGCCTGGTCGGAGCACTTCTGCGACGATGTACGGTCCCTCCCATGGTGGAGAGAGCTTATGGCGGTTCTTGTTGTTCTGGACGAGGTGGAGCACCAGGTCCCTGACGTTGAAGGCCCGACCCCGCACTCGACGGCTGTGGTACCAGCGCAACGCTTGCTGGTACTTGGCCGAGCGGAGGAGGGCGACGTCGCGCGCTTCATCTAGCTGGTCCATGGCATCCTCGAGGGACGCCTCGGCTCCCTGTTCGTCGTACGCCCTGACCCTCGGCGCTCCATCATTGAGGTCGATCGGGAGGATAGCCTCGGAACCATAGACCATGAAGAATGGTGTGTAGCCGGTGGCTCGGCAGGGGGTCGTCCTCCGGCTCTAGAGCACCGAGGGAAGCTCTGCGACCCATCGTCCACCAAACTTGTTCAACCGGTTGAAGATCCTAGGCTTGAGGTCGTGTAGGACCATGCTCTTTGCGCGCTCGACCTGCCCGTTTATGCAGGGTCCGCCACAGCGGCCCAATCGACGCGGATGTGGTATTCATCGCAGAATCAGATGAATTTCTTTCTGGTGAACTGCGTGTCGTTGTCCGTGATGATGGAGTTTGGGACCCCAAAGCGATGGACGATGTCAAGGAAGAACAGCACGGCTTGCTCGGACTTGATCACGGAGATCGGTCGAGCCTCTATCCACTTTGTAAACTTGTCTACGGCGACAAGCAAGTGCATATAGCCCCCGGGCGTCCTCTTGATAGGTCCGATCAGATCGAGCCCTCAAACCGCGAATGGCCACGTGATGGGGATCTTTTGGAGTGATTGGGCCAGCAGGTGGGTCTGCCGAGCGTAGTATGACACCCTTCGTAGGTGCGCACAATCTGTTCAGCGTCGGCTACTGTGGTCAGCCAGTAGAAGCCTTGTCAGAACGTGTTTCCGATCAGGGTTCTAGGTGCAGCATGGTGACCGCAGACCCCACCGTGGATATCGCTCAGCAACCGCTTCCCTTGTTCGATGGGGATGCAGCGCTACAGGATCCCAGTGTGGCTTCGCCTGTAGAGCTCGACGTCAATAAGGACAAAGGACTTAGCGCGACGCGCGAGCCGCCGAGCTTCCGTTTTGTCTGTCGGCAGTGCCTCACGGAGGAGGTAGTCGAGGTAAGGCGTCCTCCAGTCGGCCAGAGGGTCGGGCTCTGTCGCTGGATCCTCGTCAAGTTCCATGACTTCGGGATCGGATGGAGCTGACGGCTAGTTAGCCCTTGAGCCCATGGCAGGCGGCCCGTCACCGGCTTGTTCCGGCTCCTCGTATCGTACCGAGGGCTTGTATTGATCGCTAGCGAAGACGCCCGTCGGCATCGGCTCTCAATCGGACGTCGTTTTCACCAGCGCGTTGACCGCCTCGTTGAGACGTCTCGGGATGTGATTTAGCTTGAGACCGTCAAACTTGTCCTCCAGCTGGCGGACTTCTCGGCAATACGCAGCCATCTAGGCGTTGTGGCAGTTTGATTCCTTCATGACTTTCGATGACTAGCTAGGAGTCGCCCCAGACGTCAAGCCGTCGGATACCCAGCTCGACGGCGATGCGCAGGTCGTTGATGAGTGCCTCATACTCGGCCACATTGTTGGAGAAGGGGAAATGGATGCGAACCATGTACCTCATGCATACCCCGAGGGGCGAAACAAAGACCAGCCCCGCGCTGGCGCCTTTCTTCATCAGCGATCCGTCGAAGTACATCGTCCAGTACTCTTGGTTGACGGCTGTTGGCGTCATTTGTATTTCGGTTCATTTTGCAACGAAGTCAGCTAGCACTTGGGACTTGATGGCCGTTCGGGGGGCATATGAAATGCCTTGACCCATCAGCTCGAGTGCCCACTTGCCGATTCTTCCCATGGTATCCCTGTTTTGGACGACCTCGTCGAGAGGGAAGGACGTCATGACCGTCACTGGATACGACTCGAAGTAGTGATGCAACTTCCTCTTGGCGATCAGGATGGTGTACAGGAGCTTCTGGATTTGAGGGTAGCGGGTCTTGGAATTGGACAAGATTTCGCTAATGAAGTACACGGAACGCTGTACTTTGTGGGCGTGTCCATCTTCTTCTCGCTCTACCACCAGGGCGGTGCTGACCACTTGCGTGGTGGCCGAGATTTAGAGCAAAAGCGGTTCCTCGGCGGTCGGATGGACCAAGATCGGGACCTCCGTCAGAAGCCGCTTGACCGTGTCAAGTGCCTCTTGGGGTTCGGGCGTCTTCGAAACGGTCGGCCTTCTTCAGGAGCCGATAGAGGGGGATACCTCGTTCGCCGAGGCGGAGATAAAGTGGCTGAGCGCGGCGAGGCACCCTGTAACTCGCTGTGCCCCTTTATGTTCTGAATCGGGCCCATCCTTGTGATGGCCGAGATCTTCTCCGGTTTGGCTTTGATGCCACGATCGGAGACGATAAAACCCAGCAACATACCCTTTGGGACCCTGAAAACGCACTTCTCGGGGTTGAGCTTAATGTCGTTTGCTCGGAGTTTCGCGAAGGTTTGTTCTAGGTCGGCTATGACCTGGGGTGCCCGTTTGGATTTGACCACGATGTCATCCACGTAGACCTCAACGGTTCGCCCGATGAGGTTTTCGAAACACTTGAGCTTACAACGCTGGTATATAGCCCCCGCGTTTTTCAGACCGAACGGCATTGTGACGTAGTAGAACGATCCGAATGGGGTAATGAAAGATGTCGCGAGCTGGTCGGACTCTTTCATCGTGATTTGATGGTACTCGGAGTACGCATCAAGGAAGCAAAGCGTGGCAAAGGAAACAGATCCTTTGGGCACGCTTTGTTGAGACCCGTGTAGTCAACACACATTCTTCATTTGTCACTCTTTTTCGTACAAGAATGGGATTGGCTAACCACTCGGGGTGTACTTCCTTGATGAACAACAACAACAAAGCCTTTAAGTCCCAAACAAGTTGGGGTAGGTTAGAGTTGAAACCCAACAGAAGCAATCAAGGTTCAGGCACGCGAATAGCTGTTTTTCAAGCACTCCTATTTAAGGCTAAGTCTTTGGGTGTATTCCATCCTTTCAAGTCTTCTTTTATTACCTCTACCAATGTCAACTTCGGTCTTCCTCTGCCTCTCTTCACGTTACTATGCTGGCTTACGATTTCACTACACACCGGTGTCTCTGGAGGTCTTCGTTGGACATGTCCAAACCATCTCAACCGTTGTTGGACAAGCTTTTCTTCGATTGGTGCTACTCCTAATCTATCACGCAGATCATCGTTCTGAACTCGATCCCTTCTTG